AGCTGTGGGAGTCGGTGGGCTTGAAATGAATATCGGTTTCTAGGTTGCCCGATATGGAGACAGAGAGGTCCAGGAAGGGGAGAGAGGTATTAGGGATGGTCCAGGTAAACTTAAGGTTGGGGTGGAAGGTGTTGGTGAAGTGGATGAACTGTTCGAGCTCCTCGTGGGAGCACGAGGCGGCGCTAATACAGTCATCAATGTAACGGAGAAAGAGGTGGGGTTTAGGGCCGGTGCAGGTACGGAAGAGGGATTGTTCCACGTAACCTACAAAGAGGCAGGCATGGCTTGGGCCCATGCAGGTACCCATGGCCACCCACTTTGTCTGTAGGAAGTGGGAGGAATTGAAAGAGAAGTTGTTGAGGGTGAGAACGAGTTCGGCTAAGCGGATGAGGGTGTCAGTGGAGGGGGACTGGTCAGGCCTGCGGGACAGGAAGAAGCGGAGGGCCTTTAGGCCATTTGCATGGGGAATGCAGGTGTAGAGGGACTGGACGTCCATGGTAAAGATGAGGTGTTGGGGACCGGGGAATTGGAAGTTCTGGAGGAGGTGGAGGGCGTGGGTGGTGTCACGGACATAGGTAGGGAGTTCCTGGACCAAGGGGGAGAAAATGGAGTCCAGATAGCTGGAGATCAGTTTGGTGGGGCAGGAACAGGTGGAGACAATGGGTCGACCAGGGCATTCAGGTTTGTGGATTTTGGGAAGGAGATAGAAGCGGGCAGTGCGAGGTTGGGGAGCAATGAGGTTGGAGGCCGTGGGTGGGAGGTCACCTGAGGTGATGAGGTTGTGGATGGTTTGGGAGATGATGGTTTGGTGCTCAGGGGTGGGGTCATGATCAAGGGGGCGGTAGGAGGTGGTGTCGGAGAGTTGGCGTCTGGCCTCGGCGATGTAGAGGTCAGTGCGCCATACTACAACTGCGCCTCCCTTGTCCGCGGGTTTTATGGTGAGGTTGGGATTGGAGCGGAGGGCTGCACGTTCTGCGGGGGAGAGGTTGGAGTGGGTGAGAGGGGTGGAGAGGTTGAGGCGATTGATGTAAAGTGAAAATATGTTTGGTAAATTCTTCACTTGAGGGTCATTCAATAAATTTTATTCTTTTAGTTATATGTATCCCTACTGTAGAAATGCAAATGTAAAACAGAATTTAAATGGAGAAAGGCTGCAAATTGCTATAGTACAAAGGGTGCCCTGGTATAGGAATGACAAATGTTAGCATTCAGCAATGTACAATAAGTAATCAGGAAGACAAATGAAACGTTGGCTTACAATTCAAGGGGGATGGATTAAAGGTAGGGAAGACTGGCTACAACTGTATAGAACGTCAGTGAGATCCCACCTAAAGTGTCTCCTTATTTAAAGGACAGATACATGTACATTGGACAGTTCACAGAAGGATCACAAGGTCATTTCCTTGGAATGAAAGGGTTATCTTAAGAGAAAAGGTTAAGAAAGTTGGGCCTAAACACATTATAGTTTACAAGAATAAGAAATGATCTTACTGAAACATAATCTGTTGAATCCCTTCAGTGTAAGGGGTATATGTTCCCCCTTGTAGGGAATTCAAGAACTAGGGAGCAGTTTCAGATTAAAGGGCTTCCCATTTAAGATGGTGATGAGCAATTACTTCTGATGGTCAGCAATCTTTGGAATTCTCGATCTCAGAGCTGTGGTGGCTAGGTCACCAAATGTATTCAAGGCTGAAGTAGACAGACTTCTGATCTACAAGTTAATCAAAAGTCGTAAGGGGCAGGCAGGAAAATGGAGTTAAGGCCACAATCAGATTAGCCAAAATGTTAGTGAACAGCAAAGCAAGTTTGAAGGGTCAAGTGACCGAATCTTGATCATGTTCTGTATGTTCATTCCATTCAATTTCATCTACACATGTGTGCAGTGATACATTTTAAGGGAAGAATTTTAAAAGGAGAAACCTAGCATACATAAATAAGCACTTGAAGGTAGTAGAACAAGATGAGAAGGCTGTCAAAAAAGCATGTGGCATCCATAGTTTCGTAGAAGCAGTGAGTACAAAAACAAGGAAGTTATGCTAAACCTTTATAACTAGTTAATCCCCACCTGGAGTATATTTTCCAGTTCTGGGTAGCACACTTTGTCAAGGAAAAATGCATGCAAAAGGTCAACACATGCATGATGATCAACTGGCCATCTTCTGCTCCCTATCCCTTATAATTGATAGAAACTTACAGTGGAATCCTTTTTTATTATTTTGGCAACTGGTTCACCATCTTGATGGAGCTCCTCATAGCGACGTACTTTATTAGCATGTTTCTTGCTCTGTGGATTATAGCAGAAGACGAGTGATTGACACTTAAAGCTCAGAGAATACCTGAAACTTTGAACTTTTAATATATAAGCAATGATCGGTGGAAAATACCGTTTGTATAGAACAACCTTCATAGTCATGGTATAAATTTAAAATACTACATATTCAGTGCCAAAGCCATGGGACACAAAACGATGTTCACTGCAGCGAAATGGCTGCATCTTTTTGCCAATTCAAGCAAAGGGATCTTATACTTTCCTGTACATTAATTCTAATGTTAGAAAGTTTTAGCTTCTTGAGATATTTTAAAAATTTGTTATAACCTATTGGCAGAATACATTGATATTAAAATTCAATTTAGCAGCCCAGAATCTCCACACGAAGTTCCAGCATTTATCTAAATCATTTTCTGACACGCAACATTTTTATTTTAAAAAGGTTGCATCAACTGGACCAATTCTTCTCATAACTGGCTAGAGGAACAAAGATGGAAGACGGGGCAGAAGCAGGAATGGATCAGCACAGATCACAGATAGAACTGAGATTTTCATTGTCCTGAATGCCTCAGTACTATACCAGGAGAAGCGATTACTCAATAACCAAGAAGAAGCTGCCTGCTGTTTTTTTATAAAAACAGATTTTGCACCTGGGATTCATGCTCAACATGCACTAATCATTCCAGATATAGCAAACAGCCAAACTCATGGTGACACAGGGTCTGCCACGTTATTACCTGGTAATGTGCTAGTCTCTGGGACTCTGATATCAGCACAGCATTACACACTTTGCAGTGAGTGTCCGTGAAGAGCTCACTATTTCCTTCGATGATCTTTTGTACTGTGAAAGAAGACCAAAAGAACTAAAGCGAAACAGTAGAGATTCTGATGTTTTGCAGTAATTGTCTCCTTCACACAAATCCATTAGATTTCACTAATTTCACTGGTGTATGCACACCTTTAGAAACAACAAACATTTGCTAGTTAACTATATTCAGTAGTAAAGTACTAAATACTCTCTCAACTTCACAACAAACTTTCTATTTTGAAGTAAAGTTTATTTCAAGTGATAAATATCTGTGAGACACCTGTATTGAGATGCTACAACCAACAATATTCTTTTATATTAGCAGGATGACAGCACGAGGACAAAACAGAAAGCTTTGAGGCAGTCTGACTCGTGCTCATTTTCAAAATGAAGATACTAAACAAATAAATTGTTCTAATTAAGGGTCACTGGACCTGAAAAGTTAACTCCATTTTTTATCCAAAAGATTCTGCGCATCCTGCTGAATGTCTCCAACAATTTCTGATTCTGTGTCACTTTAAAGAATTAATTTTGTCAACTTAGAAAGTCCAAAAATTGCCCCAATATTAGAAGCTGAACTCGGCTTAAAGAGTCAATATTTCTTTCAATATTTGAAAGTTATTGAATTGTTGTTGAATGCTCTTAAGTATGAAACAGGCTATACTGCTAAATATTTATATTATTTGGGTGCTAAAACCCTGGATCATTTTTAAGGCTTCCAGTCAAGGTAGACAGGATAGGTTTGAAGACTTCAGGCTAATAATTCTATTTCAATCCATTGCTTAGGATAGTCAATAAAATACAGTTGTCAATCAGAATTTTAGAAAAGTCCAAAACTTTTTATACAATGTAAATGGAGTAATCCAGCAGTGGCTCCAACACTGTACGTGAAATCACAGCAAATTTCATGATGTAAGAAAATTACAAATAATTTAAACAACATCAAACTACAGAAAAATCCAATCAAATATCACAATATGATGCATATAAAACACTTATTATTGAATGTAAAATATTATGGAAGAATTCTATAATCGAGCCAAGCACTATGTTAGATCTTAAAATAAAACACAACAGAAAAGTTAGTCATCCTTTCCATGAACAGTTCTGCACAAGAGTCGGCCTATGGATGGAAAGATTCAACTATAGCAGACAGCAGACAGAGTTGAACAAAGTAGGTTTCAGGAAAGGAGGTGAAATTCAAGGTTTTAGCGAGAAAAATTAAGAGGAGATTATGGAAGCAATTTCAGCTGTGGGACCTGGAAAGTAGGAGAAAGTTGGGTAAGACTACACGTTAGGCTGGAGAGGTGACAGACAAATTCAACCCTGTTCAATGATGTGAGGAAGTGTGTTACAGCTTAGTGGATCTACATAGATTAAAATTTGAATTTGAGCAGCAACAAATGGCTTTACAGGAAATTAAAAGTACGTGACATTTTAACAACAAAATGCCATGGATGTTTTATTATCAAGTCCAATCTGCATGCAAAATGAATATCTTTTAAAATTAATGAGCAAGAAACAATTTCTCTAGAGTATGACCATGCCAAAAGCACAAGGAAGGCTTTTGCAATTTATTGCTGACATTTTCTGCTCAACACATGAAATAGATGACACTGTGCATTTCAGAGCCAGGATTTCTATTCAACATCTTCTGGAGATCTCTGATAGAAAGTGCACACTCAAGTCGCTCGGGGAACAAGATCAGAATCCAAGAATCCCTAAAGTGCAGAGACCATTTGGTCCATTGAGTTTGTACCAGCCCTCCAAAGAGCACTCCATCCAGATCCAGCCCCCTATCCTATCTCCATATTTACTATGGCTAATCCACCTAGCCTGCACATCCCTCGACGGTATGGACCATTTACAATGGCCAAACCAACTAACCTGCATACAGAGTCATACAGATGTACAGCATGGAAACAGATCCTTTCGTCCAACACATCTACGCTGACCAGATATCCTAAGTTAATCTAGTCCCATTTGCCAGCATTTGGCCCATAAACCCTTCCTCTTCATTTACTCATCCATATACCTTTTAAATGCTGTAACTGTACCAGCCTCCACCACTTCCTCTGGCAACTCATTCTATACAAGCATCACCCACTGGGTAAAAAAGTTGCCCCTTCGCTCCCTTTTAAATCTTTCTGCTTTCATCTTAAACCTACGGCCTCTAGTTTTGGACTCCCCCACCCCAGGGGGAAGACTTTGCCTATTTACCCTATCCATACTCATGATTTTATAAACCTCTATAAAAGGTCACCTCCCCAGCTTCTGAAGCTCCAGGGAAAATAGCCCCAGACTGTTCAGCCGCTGCGCCTAGCTCAACCTTGCTAACCAGTCTATCATGATGGCCCTTGGTGAACACTATACTCAAGTCCATACAGATCACATCCAACGCTCTATCCTCATCAATCCACTTCATTACTTCTTCAAAAAAATTAAGTTAGTGAGACATGACTTCTCACACACAAAGCCACGTTTGACTATACCTAATCAATCCTTGCCTTTCCAAATGCATGTAAATCCTGTCTCTCAGGATTCCCTCCAACAACTTGCCCACCGATAATTCCTGGCTTTTCCTTATCACCTTTTTAAAATAGTGGCACCACATTAGCAACCTCCGGTCTTCCAGCACCTCACCTGTGGCTATCAATGATACAAATATCTCAGCAAGGAGCCCAGCAATCACTTTCCTAGCTTCCCACAGAGTTCTAGGGTACATCTGTTCAGGTCCTGGGGATTTAGCCACCTTTATGTATCTTAAGACATTCAGCACCTCCTCTCTAATATGGACATTTTTCGCTATTTATTTCCCAACGTTCTACATGTTCCACATCCTTTGCCACAGTAAACACTAATGCAAAATACTCTTTTAGTGTCTCCCCCCATCTCCTGCGGTTCCACACATAGGCGGCCTTGCTGATCTTTAAATGGACCTATTCTCTCCCTGGTTACCCTCTGTCCTTAATGTATTTGTAGAATCCTTCTGTATTCTCCTTAACCCTATTTGCCAAAGTTATCTCTTGTCCCCATTTTGCCCTCCTCACTTCCCTCTTAAGTATACTCCTACTGACTTTATACTTGATCTCTGCTGTCTATGCCTGACATCTGCTTCCTTTTTTTCTCCTTGACCAAAATCTCAATTTCTCTAGTCATCCAGCTGTCCCTAAACCTACCAGCCTTGCCCTTCACCCTATCAGGAACATACTGTCTCTGGACTCTAGTTATCATTTTTGAAGGCTTCCCATTTTCCAGCCGTACCTTTACCTGCAAACATCTGCTCCAATCAACTTTCGAAATTGGCCTTCCTCCAATTTAAATGCAGTCTACCCTTTTCAATCACTGGCACCAAAGTGCTCTGCCATTGACACCTCAGTCACTTGCCCTGCCTTATTTCCCAAGAGTAAGTCAAGTTTTATACCTTCTCTAGTAGGTGTATCCACATACTGAATCAGAAAATTTACTTGTACATACTTAACAAATTTCTCTCCATCCAGGCCTTTAATACAATGGCAGTCCCAGTCTATGTTTGGAATGTTCTGATGACTATTGCGGGGGGTCTATAGTACAATCCCAAAAAGAATGATCATCCCTTTCTTACTTCTCAGTTCCACCCAAATAACTTCCTTGGATGTATTCCCATGAATATCCTCCTTAAGTACAGCCATAATGTTATCCCTAATCAAAAACATCACTCCCCCCTCCTCTCTTGCCTCCCTTTCTATCTTTCCCATAGGCATCCACACCCTGGAACATTAATCTTCCAGTCCCGTCCATCCCGGAGTCACGTCTCTGTAATTATTTCGATATCTCAGTCCCATGTTCCCAGCCACGCCCCGAGTTCATCTGCCTTACCTGTTAGGCCTCTTGCATTGAAATAAATGCAGTTTAAAACTTCCAAGCATCTCTAGCAAATCTTCCCACCAATATATTAGTCCTCTTCCAATTCAGGTGCAATCCATCCTTCTTATACAGGTTACTTCTCACCCAGAAGAGATTCCCATGATCCAAACTGTGAATCCTTCTCCCCTGCACCAATTCCTCAGCCACGCATTCATCTGATCTATCCTCCTAATGCTACCCTCACTTTCTCATGGCACCAGCAGTAATCCAGATATTACTACTCTCAAGGACCTCCTTTTAAATTCCTGCCTAACCTCCTATATTCTTTCCTCAGAATCTCATCCGTTTCTTTTCCTATGTTGTTAGCTCCAATGTGTACATCGACGTCCTGCACTTTTGAGAATTATCTGCACCCTCTGAGATATCCTTGATTCTGACACCAAGAAGGCAACACACCATTCTGATGTCTTGCCGTTGGCCACAGAAACATCTATTTTGGGACTATGGAAGGGAACTGGAGCACCCAGCGCAAACCCACGCAGACACGGGGAGAACGTGTAAGCTCCATGCAAACAGTCATCCGAGGCTGGAATAGAACCTGGTTCCCTGGCACTGTGAGGCAGCAGTGCTAACTCTCTGGTTTTGATCATAAAAGTAGGCCATTTAACCCATCAATCCTGCTCTGTCATTCAATAAGGCCAGGCCTGATCTAATTGTTGCCTTAATTTCACTTTCCTGCTTGCCCACTCTGAAATCTTGACTTCCTTGTGAAACAATAACTGTCCAACTCAGCCTTAAATACATTCATGGACACTGCTGGAGAGAATTCCACAAGTTAATGACCCTCAGAAAAGCAATTCCTCCTCATCTGTCTTCAATCAGAAGCCCTTTGTTTTCAAACTAGGTGTTGTTTCCTTCATTATTGCAAACATCCTCAGTATCTATCCTGCCAAGCTCCTTCAGAATCTCAAATTTCAATATGATCACTTCTAATTTTTGTAAACTCCAAAAAATCCCTTCATAAGAGTCAGCCAATAAAATTTCTCTGAACTATTTACAGTGAAAGTCTGTCCCTCCTAAAGTAACTCCTCTAGATATGGTCTCACCTATACCTGCACAGTTGTCTCAAGACGTTCCCACTTTTAGAATTCACCTCCAGTAAAGGCCAAAATTCCATTTGCCTTCTCAATTACTTGCTGTACATGAACCACAAAAAGTTAGCATGCATGTATAAAAGACACCCAGATTCCAGTACTGAAGCATTTTATATTCACTCTAATGGACAAATCTTTTCTGATCCAGGTCAGACAAACATTGGCGTCTTGCCTTTCTAGAGATTTCTGGCCAGGCTTCTGAGGCAAGAGCCTTCATAAGAGAAACAATCCAGTACACCAGTCAGGCAGTGACAAAGCGGATTGTCACAGAAACCACTCATCCTTTTTACAGCAATAGCTGCCGTATTCCAAAATTAAAGGCTGCAATGACAGCTACTGAAGAATGTAAGGCAAGTGAAGGGATACAGTGGCAAATTGATGGGTGCACACAGGCGGCAAATAAGTGGGTCAGGTATTGGTTGGGGGGGGGGGGGGGGGGGGGAGAGGGGGGGGGGGGGTTGGGGGGGGGGGGGGGGGGGGGGGGGGGAGAAAGAGCATGGTGTTCAGATTGTCAGTGTGAGTGAATAGGGTTGAATGGTGAATCGAAAGGGGAGGTCTCAGTTTTATAGTTAGCCTGAATTTAGACATATTTTAACTCACCTAACATGTCATGGTAAACATAATTATATTGGTATTCTCCATCCCTACATCAGAATTAGGGATTTTTTTGGGCTATTTTGACATTTGGCAATTATCTATTTAAACTTCCAGACAATTACAAAGTAGTCATTGGGACTTCCAAAATTCTAGTTTTATATATTTCCTGCTAAAGTGTGATAACCTCACATTTTCCCACATTATACTCCATCTACCAAATTCTACTCCTTGTGCTTAACTATTTGCATTCCTTTTCAGACTCTCTGTACCCTTCTCACAACTTGATTCCCTTCTTAATTTTGTCATCAGCAAATTTCAAAATCCTGTCAGTACATTCATCCAAATTATTAATAACTCAAATATTTGAGGCTTCAGAACAGATCCCAGTGGTTTGCAAACATGAAATTTGTTATAGACCAGATGAAACCCTCTCGAAATATGTCAAGAAGATACCCTAGACCCTAACTTTTATCTTCTTAAAAGGCAACCGTAAGGCGCTGTATTCCAGATGTGATTTGATTGGTCACCTATTAAGCTTTACGCAAAATACACTTTATTCTTACAATACAGTTAAAATACAAACAAAAGAAAATTCGCATAACTTGAACCCTACTGAAATACTTAATGAAATAATATATTATTTACCTACTAATCATCAACTATTCCAATATAGCAGCAGCCCTTGGAAAGATAAATTCAACAAAATATTTTCCTCATTTGCTATCTTCTCCAATCCAGGAGAAAGAAACACCGACAAAAAGACAAACAATCTAGCAGCAGAGAGAGAACTCAAGCTTTTTGCTGCCTCAGAGACAGAGACAGAGAGAGCGCGAGACAGAGCGAGCAATAGAGATGTATTATCAGCTTGAACTCCGATATAAACCCCAATTTCAATTGAAAACAAAAACTAAATCCCTGAGTCAGTGTGAACTGTGCTTCTGTCTGATTTGAAAGAAAAAAAACCACTCAGGAAGCTCAAAGCTATCTACCCACTGCTTCTGAAGCAGACTTTCTGGCAACACCTCTCTGCAAAAGAAACAGCAGAGAGCAAATCCCTCTTCAAGGCACAGTACTGTAACAAATTGATCCATTTATCTTTATTTTCTGCTTCCTGTTAGTTAACCAATGCTTTATTCATGCTAACATATCACTCCTAACATCATGAGCTCTTCTTTTGGAAAATCAAATATACTACATCTACTGGTTATATCAACAGAATTTTTATAATTTGCCAAAACCATGTACACTGTCAGATTGTTTTCTGATTTTCTAAATGTCCTGCTCTTACCTCTACAATAATAAGTTATTTAGCTTTGCATAAACAGAATGGTCATTTGGGCTACAAACAAATCAGAAGATAACTAGCACTAATCTACATCGCTTGAACGTTAGTCAGTGTCTATACATGGAAAGACTAAAATAAAACAGAATTCCAAACCCAATTCCAGATATTGTAAACCTTTTATACAACTCAAAGTAATTTGACTTATAGGCACTTTACTGTATTATTCCTCCAGTAACACTGACTAAAGGCCAAAACCTCTTTAGATCCATGCTTCCCTCCCCAGGGTTTTGCTTCAGTTCCACAGGTTCCAACAACTATCTGGTTCCTCACCAAAATGGCCAATTCATTTATCTACTTGGAACTCAAAGAATCGGATTTTATTTTTGATGAGTCAGACACATTACACAATACAGTGCAGACAGCATAAACAATAAGTGATGCTTGTCACTTTCTGCACGGAGTGTGATAGACCTGACAAATAGATTTTTAATGGAAAGCAGTCTTTAAACTCCTGTTCAATACTCACATGGCTCTATACCCAAGCTTAAAATGCAAAAGTATTCTTTGAATCTGTTCCTTTTTCTGTTGATTCAATGTAGTAATATGTACATTTAACTTGCCCTACATTTTTAATAAATAAAATTGCTCAGCAACCACAGTTTTCACAATAGTTTGCAAAACTATTATAGTCATGGAACAGGTCATGCTAATTATAGAATGTGCAAAAATTCATGGGTTTGATCACAATGTTACACCATAGCTAATCAATTGCCTTAAAACATAATGTGTCTCAAACTGGTCAGAAGATTTTGCTTTCCTTGATAAAAAGCCAGGGTATAAGTATTAATTATTCTCCAATAATAAACATCATCACCCACTTAACTACTTGGATTTAAAAATAAAATTTTCTATATTTTCCTGCAGAGCATGTGTGGGTTAATCTAAAGGCAAAAATTGACTATTTGCAATGAGAAAGCAAGTTTGGTAGCACCTGTGGACAGAAAGACAGATTAATGTTTGAGGGCTATGACCTTTCATCAGGACTGAATGTTACAGGTTAAGAAAGTACTTAAACAAGGCAAGAAAGAATAAAATGGGGAATGAGGTCATGAAAAAAAATAAAAGTAGCAGGATAGAAAGTGAAAGGCAGAAGTATAATGGGAGAATTAAAAAGGCCAGAATAACATAAATTATATCAGAAACCACTATGACTATCTCTTGTCTAAATAAATGGGAAAAGTAACTTTTTCAGACTAGAACGCATTTGCGAAACAAAACCAACATAGCTCCCATGCAGCCCTGAAAACAATGTCCCAATTCACTAAAAAATAATTTCTGAACTAACTTTTGCCCATCATTTACTACAATATTTTTACAGTTACCACTCAATTCAAAAGCTATCTTTGATGCCTCAGTTCCCATGGTACTGATCCCCGCAACTACAAAAGTGCTATAATCAACCTGTTACTCCCAAAAAAAGACAAACCCTTGAATCCAACATCCTTGTGCATCATTTCTTGAATATCCCAAATCATTCTCTGAATTCCACATTTGAATTCCAGGTTGTTCTCAGCCAATGCCAAAATACTGAAACTTCTTATCTCAGTGACATTATACGTGAATGTGGCAAAGATAAGTTATTCTTAATCACCCCTCACCACTGAATGGGATCGCATTCAATAATCCACCTCAACTTTTTTGGTACATGGACTGGACCTCTGAGGTCCAAAACTGGAAGTCAATGTGTCGACATGCCTTATTCTTCTATGGTCCCAACCTTCCCTATTTGTGCTTTGCCAATTCTGATCTCTTGGCCAGTCGCAATTTTAATTACCCCACCAGTGGTAGCCATTGCTTCAGCTGCTAAGTCTCAACACTCCGGAATTTTTTTTTAAAATATATTACTCTTTCATTTATTGCCAATCCTGAATTGCCCAGAGCGTAGCTCAGTCAGCCAAACTGTTGTGGGTCAGGAGTCGCAACTAGGCCAGACCAGGTAAAGATGCAGATTTCCTTCCCTAAAGGACATTAGTGAACCAGATGTTTTTACAACAATTGACAATGATTATACAGTTACTGTTAGGCTAGCATTTTTGCTTCAGATTTTTTAGGAATTGAGGGTTTATGCCACCACCTCCCCTTCTAAATATCTGTACCTCTTTTTTTTCTCCTTTAACGTCCAACTTATGACTTACCTCTGACTACATTTATGGTCATCTCACAAGGTTTGATGTAAACTTTGATTCACATTTTCTTGAGAAGCACCTTGGCATTTTTTTCACGATGTTAAAATATACAATATACGTAGAAGTTGTCACTCTTGACGGAGGGCACCCAAACAGCACAGAGGCAAACAATATGCCAAGCACTCTACTGAAGATCATATGGGTTACCAAAAAGACCTGTTACTGAACATCTCTCATCAGTGCATAAGTGAGATTCTGAGCTTCCAGTCAGTTAACAGTTCTCTCCATGGCCTCCTACATTGTTCTAATGAAATTCAGGACTCAATATTTACATAAAGCAGCTTAAAATCATAATCACTGCTCTGATTTTTCAAACTAAAGGTCTGCTGTGCCCATTCACACTTCTAGTTAAACTGATACATTAGATTTTTATTTGGGATTGTATTTAAGAGGCAGCTAGATATAGTGCTTGGGGCGAATGGGATTGAAGGTTATGGGGAGAAAGCAGGATTAGGCTACTGAGTTGGACGATCAGCCATGATCGCGATCAATGGTGGAGCAGGCTCAAAGGGCCAAATGGTCTCCTCCTGCTCCTATCTTCTATGTTTCTAGCCATCTTTGCTCACTTATTCCAATACTACCCCACTTTGCCTAATAACATAATCTAACCATTTTGACAGTTAATGAAGTCTATCTCACTTCCTATCATACACCTTACCTTTTGTTCTTTCCTCCTCTTCTCTCTCACCTTTCTTCCCTGAAAAGAAAAACAATAAACTACAGCTACTGGAAATGCAAGAACAGAAATTGCTGGAACTCACTTCTACACGTAACCTTTACATTCCATCCCAAAACCACACTTGTGTTTCCCTTGTTCTCACCTTCCAATCCACCTTCTGTTTAAAATGGATCATCCGCCAACATTGCTAGCACCTCCAGCATA